TCAGCAGGACCTATCATTCCTGACAGGAGGCAGCCCCATGCATTTGAGCATAAGCAGGTCTACTCTGAGGCAGAAAAAAACCCTCCTGTCTCGTAAACTTTAAGTTTGCTTTAGCAACTATCTATGCACAAACTGTTGTTGGATGCCACAAGCCCATAAAGCAGCCTGTGCAGCACGCCACAAACACAGCCACCACTATTAAAACATCACTGTTAATTTGAAATGTTAACAGAGGTGCTGTCTTTAAAGTGCTTCGAAGAATCAGATGGCCTCCTTTCAATACACGTCAGGATTATGGTGTGCAGACTACTATGAAGAGGTCTTGGATAATTTAACTAGTTGCATTACTTTTTCACATTTCAGGTTGTCCTGTTTGATGTGATAAAAACTCAAAATGATTTACAGCATCTTTGACACTTTTTAAACTATTGCACTCTGCAGAGTCAGTGTTTGATTATGGTGCCATCTGTCACCATCCATCCATAAGGCATTTAACATTCTACTGCAGAATACTTTCTCCTGGCCTCAGCTCAAGATGTGAGAGAAGAAGAAAAGGTGAGTGCGGTCCTCTGCAGTGGAGACAGTTGTAAAATGCATTGATTTGATAAATAAGTTCAACAAAGAGATTACTCTAAACGGTCTGTGTTTGCTGTGTCCACACTTAAAATCAAATCAAGTCCTTTGTTTTTGCTCTTGCTGTGCAAGAACTGTTAACAACACAATGGAACGCAAATGTGCCCGCATTTAAATAGCAGGAATTCACACCTTCATTCTTATCACAGATCGAGGCAAGCCTGGGAGGAGATGGACATTTGGGGCTCAGTAAATTAACTAGAGCCTATAATTAGGTTGGATAAGGCTGCACTTCCCTGATGTTTGTATGTCCAGCAGGCACAACTAGAGCTGTATTATATCACCAGCCCCCATCTAATAAGATAATGTACCTAAGGAGTCCTTGTGAGACAACTGTCTGTTGTTAGACATGACTTGGATCAGCACTTCAGAACTTTATTAGAAAAGTTAAATTTTCTTGCAAGAATGGTTGTTGTTAATTTAATATTAGTGAAAATGCTAGGCCTCTTTCAATATCCTCCGGGATTCAATGTATTTCCCATGACACAGTTTTGGAACCACTGAGTTGAATGTAAGCCCTACATCCAATTTGTGCATCTAACATATTTTCTGTATAAGAAAACAAAATAGTTTAATAAAACTACTGCTCTGTTCTGGAGATATTACCTTTTTTTTTTTTACTAATTTCTCCTCATTTTGCTCATTCAAACAAAAACACAAACAAAACTTTAAAAAATGTATTTATCTATACCTTGAGAAGTGTATACAAATCTTTTTATGGTGCAGAAAACTCTTTTTTGAAGACTGTAGAATAAGTTCAATAAGCTATGATATATGGTGTAATACATAAGAGGCCCAAAGTCAAGGCAACCTGCTCAAACATTCAGTGGAAGTGATAGTTCTACTAAATATTACTAGAAGATTTTCTTATGCTTTAAGGGGGGGTTCCCTTAACCATCCGCACAGACCTACAGTATGTTGTTCCCGGCACCACTTTCGCCTTTGTTTTAAATGTACATATGTTCCTATTCGGCATTTTGTTTTGTCAAAGGAAGTACAAGCAATGGAGCAGAAGGAGGGGTAGAGGGGCTCCTGGAGAGGTTTTACACACTGGGTAATTAAGCGCGTTGACTGACAGCAGAGTGCCAAAAGGCGCAGACGCACTCCGATTGGCCGGAGCGCACTTTACAATCTCATCTTGTTTCCAAGCTCCTCACACGCAGGCCAAACTCTCGCAGGAGCCAGACGCATCAGAGGAGTGCCACGGGCTATAGCGAGGACAGAGCGCCTGTGGACTTCATCTACCTCAACACGTTTTACGCACGTCGATCAGCAGAATTAAGCCTTTTCGACATTTGTTTCTTGTTATTATTCTGAATTTCTTCATGAAGTGAATCTTTTAGTTCGCCTGTCTGACCCACACTGAGTTGCATGCGTTTTATTGTTGAAAAAGAAAACATGAGGTCTACTTCTGAGTTATTCTGGAGGATGATCCGACTGACTGTGACAGTGGCGCTCATGTCAGCATGCAGAGCGTCAGAGTACGAGATTCTGAGCTGGGAGTCAAACTACAACGGTGGACCCAACTATGGCAAGCCTCCCCAGTGCGTGGACATCCCGGACGACCTACGGCTCTGTCACAACGTGGGGTACGACAAAATGTTGCTGCCCAATCTGCTGGAGCACGAGACTATGGCCGAGGTGAAGCAGCAGGCCAGTAGTTGGGTGCCCCTGGTGCACAAGAACTGCAACCCGGACACGCAGGTCTTCCTATGCGCGCTCTTTGCGCCTGTGTGCCTAGAACGACCCATCTACCCTTGCCGCTGGCTGTGCGAGGCCGTGCGGGGCGGCTGCTCCCCCATCATGGAGGCGTTCGGCTTCCCCTGGCCGGACATGCTCACCTGTGATAAGTTTCCCCAGGACGATGTGTGCATTGCTATGACCAAACCCAACGCGACCGAGGCCACCACACAGACAGGTAATTCTTAGCAACTGACGAGTCTGACTCATTGTCTTTCAAGTGTTTGGTTCCGTTTTTTTACGAGAAACTCGTTGAGTGTACACTCTGTTGCAACACTTCTTTTAGTTTAGTTTTGTGGGTGCGCAGTAAAACCCCATTGTTTGGCGTTCAGTGGGCAGCTCCACAGTATAATTCAAGCAAGATGTGGAAATCCTTTCAGAGACTTTCTCAGAGGGTGAACGAGTACTTTTTTCCTTTAATTTGGAAAACTTGTTCTTTCTGGTGGTTAGAAGCCTGCTTCTCACTCCAATTCTCACGGGCATGTTTACCATTTTCATTACTAATTAAGATGTTAAATTACCTGAAAGTGACAGAAAACATCCATTACCTTTAGCACAGGGCCATAACCAGAAATTTCACATTACTGAGGTCATAAGCCCAAATTGTCCCAACACAGCCTCCCTCAGAATATTCTGACCAGACACAAACAAGCTGTTTCTATTTATAAGTGTTCAGTTCTATTTACTGTACATTTAATTTTACAACATAAATGTTAAAT